CTTTTTAGAATGTGGTGTTTTTGATTTTGTTTTTAATGCGGATTTTTGTAGTGATTTTTGTGTTGAATGTCCTTGTGACGGTGTTTTTGGTGTGTTGACTAAATAAGCCGAGTCTGGTGCTGGTTCTACAACAGGATCGTAATCGTTCTGTCTAGGTTGTTTTTTACCTGATTTTTTGTCAACTCTCTTTCTATTGTTTTTTGTTAAAAGTCTGAGATTTACTACTGTTCTTTTTTCAATGGGTTCTTGGCCAATGCTCATTTTTGCTGCAAGGATATGAAAGCATGTAGTAGTAGATGGACACTGACAACTTTCCTTCGGGAATAAGGTGACACAATACTTACCATTTCGACCTTGAACAATGAAAGCACCTTGAGATGGAACAAGTGTGATTAGGTTGTTGTCAACTATATACTTTGCCAAAGCGTGTTGACTACTTACGAAAGCAGGAAAGTCAAACATAGTATTAATGATTGGACTGTCTTTTTCATTTGAAGTGGTGGGTTTACTATGTTCAGTTTTAGTAATCAAAATTTTGTAGAAAATGAAAACCTAAAGCAAGCATATCAACTGGTAACTCTTTCCAATCGTTTTCTTGTTTTAAAACAGCGTTATAACTTTCTGACAGATTGTTAGTGATACCAGAGTATGGGTCATATAAACCTTCAAATTGTTCTAAAACCCATTTTCCTGATCTCTCTAAAATATCAGTTTTTAGCTCTTTTTCAAAATATGACACAACTTCGGATGTCCATTTAGATGTCAGATCTTTAGAAAGCTCTAAGAACTCATTCTCAGAGTCACATTGTAGCATCTGTTTTAACTGATGATGATATAGCCTGATATTATCAGGAGAAACTTTATTTTGATTCAACCAGTACTTAAAATAGCACTAGTCTAATAACTTTTAATAATGAACATCTGTACTACTAAATAGAGTTTAATACTACTAAATAGAGTTTAATGGCGACTACCCTTGCGGATATTGCGCCAGATTACCTTATATAAAAACATTTCAAATAAATGTTTTAAAATTTATTATTATTTAGGAATTAACCTGTATTATATATTCATATTATAGTAAATTGTGAGTTTTTTTTTTTTTTTTTTTTCCCTTAAATTTAATCTTTATATTTAAATCTGAACTATGGTGTGTATTTTAATTATCTTAATTATCTTGTGGTTAATTTATAGTGAGAAGAAAAATTTTTGTGGACTTATTTTTCTGTTATTTGTAACTTAGCCTGCTTTATTTATACATATTAAATGATTTGGTAAGTAGGTGTGTTTGTTGTTTATACATGAGAACTGTAAGTATCAAATACTCTTGGATAGACATATCTGACTTTTCCAAATATGCAAATCCTAGAAGGGGTCTGACATATTCCCGTACATGGTATATACATTAATACAATTATACCGCGGCTCGTACGTCCTTGGTAAATTGTGATTCTCTGTATATTGAATTTGACTAAAGATAGCACCTTCACTTATATTATAAAAGATTCTTAAACTTACGTTCTAGAATAAAAATATAGTATTACCGTGTATGTATAATTAGGATCTATAAGATTAATGTATTGTTTTGACATTTTTGTGTGTAATAAATAGTAAGTGTTCATGTTTTGCAGTTATGTACAGTATAGATACCAGAGAGTGCTATCTTGGTAGTACTTGATTTAGTGTACTACTTTAAAAAAAAAAAAAAAAAAAAAACTTTCGTAAAAGTTTTAGTGTATATTGTCAAATTCAACGGGGTTATATTTCTAATATTTAGAAATCATAAACTGATAAATGATACCTTCCAGCTCTGTTACAACTATTAAAAAGCCAATATTTAGAAATAAAAAAACTAAAAAAGGTAAATATTAATATATATATCTACCAAATTATTTATGAACATCTGTATTAAAATGCAATCTATATATACCCAGAATGACACGTGCTCACATGTAATCACCGGATTAATTAAGTTGATTATCACACGCCTATACGTTCCAAGTTATCTTTGATTCTTGCGGTAAAATTGAGATCTAATCTAATTTTACTTTTAAATATACAATCAATTAGTGTTTCGATGTGTTTTGTTTTCAATTGTATTCCTAATAAATAATTAGAACATAAAAAACTAAATATCTTCTCATAGGTACTCATTACCACACGCTCGGTTTACGGTTGACATAACAGAATACACAAATACACTTACACCCCAGTTCTATTGTTATACTTCATAGTTTCTATTTCTGAAACATGTGTAAATTGAATAGATCTATTGTTATGAATAACAATGGATTTTGACCACAGGGTGTGACGAGCGGGGTTTCTGGAAACCCCTGCTTCTACATCCCGCAAACAAAGTCCATTGTTATTCGTAACAATAGAAATTGATTATTTTTTAAATAGCATGAACATAAGAAAATACTAATAGTGTTCACTACAAATTGTTTCATGATATTAAAAAAAAAACATTTTAGGAAATTCCAATAAGCATCTATATATATTCCAATAAGCATCTTATACATGGAATACAAAAATAATCCTTTAAATACTCTTTTGCTTGAAGGTAATTTTTTTTTCCCAGTCATATGTCTCTTATCTAAAGCATTGATCTTTTTAAAAAAATGGGGATTCTAACCCCCGGATCCCCCCCCCCCCCCCGGTTACCCAGTGGCCGATCCGGGGTTGGGGGTTCCGCGGGTTGGACCCGACTTTTATTTAAAATATCAATGCATTTGAATGGTTGGACCCCACCCCCCCCCCCCCCCCCCCACTTTTCTCTTGAGTTGGGAACCCCCGGGATCAGCCCCTGATTGCCCCCAAAAAGGGAGTACCTCTATATTAAATAGTGTATGTTGAGCGTGTCTGATAGTCGGGTTTTTAATGCAGACACCCCTATCCCTTAGTATGCTCGAATATGAATGTTTGTTTATTCTCGAGAAGAGGGGAAGGGGGCTTTCGTTTTTGATAAAATCGTAAGATATAAAATACAGTTATGATTACCTTAATTAAACTGATACAGGTAATTACTTTCGGTTATAATATTGTCTTTGTCTTTAGTCTCTTATACCAAATCCAACGCTTTCCACAAAATGTCGTACGTCTTATACCCGTCCATATTGACAACTGTATACCAGGAGTATGATGTATTTTTTGTTTGTAATAAGAATACACGAAACAGTCAACCTTGACCTGCTGATCCATATTAGCACATGGATTTAACGGGAATATGCAAAACAGCTTGACATTTGTAAAATATACTCACTTGTCAAAGTTTGAATGAAGATAGCCAAAGAAAGGTTACTAGTGGGGTTTCATGTAATAAAAAAAAATATTTTTATAAATCATTGTTTGATATTGTCAATAAATATGCTATCGTTTTTTTTTTCATTTGATAATCAATGTTAACAAATATGAGGTTTATAATGGGGTGTAAGTTAGTTATACACCTCGGGATATTTAACTTTATATTACGATTTTGAGGTAATTTCAACAAAATTTCTAACGTAATCGGCTACTGTCCTGGCAGATTTTTTTAACTTTAAAAATCGAAAATTATATTAAATTTTAGATCTTTAGAATGATTATTCCCTAAACTTTATAATCGTACAAAAATATTATGCCAGACAGTTGTTTTGGAGAAATAATTTCAATTATAAGTAAATTTTTCTCGGAAATTTCAGCCATTTTTTTCTTAAAAATTAACTGTCCTGGCAGATTTTTTTTAACTTATAAATTTTTTATTTTATTTTTTTTTACAGATAATGTAAGTAAATACCCTGTTCTTTATTATACAATTTAAATTTCAACAATATGTTGAGTAAAACAAAAGTAACAGATGAAAACGTATCAAAAATAACTGTCCTGGTTTTATCTGTCCTGTTTTTAGACCTTCCCCGATTTGGTGTGGGGCGATTTGCCAGTGGGGCGATTTGTCCTGCTTCCGTACTCACATGTGCAGGCAGAGAAGAGTGCTGAAATAATTTTAAATACAGTTAACCAGCCAGTGACAATACGGATTCGATTGCACATGCATCATCTTTACCCCAAAAATGATTAATGCCGTTTTGCCTACTTGTTTGACAAGAGATAATTTTTAAAAAGAAAAAGGATGACAAGCACAATGCCTCACATGGCGCAAAATGCCAGGCATGCGAAAAGCAGAAACTTCCAACTTTCCAGACCGAATGCAATTTGTATGGCATGAATTAAATACAGCTATGTCTAATGTATCTAACTAAGCATCCAGTAATGTCTAACTTATTTTAAATAGAACAATAAATGTAGCAAAAGATGTAGGTTCTGTGAAAAATCATAATTAGGATTCTAGACTCAGTTACTAGTACCACATATTCATTCTTTTCCAACATGCTGAATATATTCAATCAAAGTATTTAGAGGTGCTGAGGAGGGGGGAAAAGATCGCTTTATGAACTTTAAATAAAACATTGCCATTATATTAAGCAAAAAAAAAACATTAATGGGCATTATTGAACTTTATGCAATCCCCCTCCCCCTGCAATAAATGGCTTGTATTCTCAATGAAAAACTATCCAAGTTTGTAGCCAGCTAGTGTTTTTCTTCAGTGCATGTATAGTGATCAAAATCAAGTAAATAATCATACTTAACCCAGAGGATATCCTGAAATAGCAAGGAGGTGTGAGCTACCTGTAGAAGACCTCACTGTTCTTTAGACGAAGAGCAATAATAAAAGCATATTGCCTTTCCTTTAGTTTTGTTGAATGCATGTAAGGATTTTTATTATATTGTGTTTAACATTAACCTCTAATAGCCTTTGATCTAAATTCTTTTTAAGCTGATAAATCTATACAAAAAGTTGACGACAAAATTATATTTGCAATAGTTTTGTGTAAATTAAAAATGTTCTCTATCATGAAGAAGAATTTAGTTACTCAAAACATGTGCTTTCATATGAAGTGAGAAACAAACTGAATACATGTCTTCATAACTTGATGTATTTTGGGAATAAAATTAACAAGACATTTTAATTCATTGCTGCTTTACTTCCCTCAAATATTTTGGCACATATCTTTTTGTAAAATATAATATTGTTTGACAATACATGAAGTAATGTTAATGACAATTAATTACATGAACAACAGTTTATATTAATTTAACACACACAAGAATATTTACTGTGGATTCATTTTTTTTCATGGGTACCAATTTTTGTGGACCAAGGAAAACTTGCATTTTCATGGATATTTGATTTCGTGATTTTGCCAAAGTCTGCATAAATTCCTATAGAAAATAAGTAATTTGTTGGACATTGGAATTCGTGGTTCCCCGTTAACCACGAAATCCACGAAAATTGGTATCCAACGAATAATAATGAATACAGTATTTACAATAAAATGAACTACACATAATGTTTATAACACACAATACAGTTATCAAAATCTTTAAAGTGAGAGATTATATAATTGCTGATCAGACCTTTAAACACCGCATACATTTATCTGAACTAGAAATAAAACTTAATTCTGCTGATGAGGTAGTTTCTAATAACCTATGACCTTTGGATGGCATTGATTATCATGACACATGCTTTCATATTCTGCTTTAGTTATAATCCTAACTGTTATGGTAGCTGTGGACTTTAATATATATGTTTAAGTCTAAACAATATTGAATAATTATTTTCTTAAATGACAATAGAGTTATACTAAGGTATGAAAAGATACAACCAATAAGGATAAAGGAAGATTGGCACGAACAATATAAAACATTGACCTAACATGGCAAAAAAAACAAAAACAGAACTATAGGTCACTCTATGGCTTAGTTGCAAAGTGCTAAATCATCCAGTCACCAAATGTCATACCGGAGAAAACAACATGACTTAATACAGGTATATAAAGATGTGCTGGAGTCATAGACTATTATTATGATATCAACCCTCCCCTTATTATTTTAATCAAAGAAAGAATAAATGAAAGAGAGAAATAATAATAAAATCAAACTTGAAAAAGTATAATTATGTTTATTAGTTGTAGATTTGAAGTGAACACAAGGTGTTGTCTTAATCTTTTTTTTTTTTTCAATTTGGCAATGAAGGTTAAAAATTTAAAATGTAAAACTGTAACAGAAAGTCTTTCCTGTAGAAGATTCATAACTCTTACAAATAAATGACAAATAAAATGAAAAAGTTATCTTAGTAAAAATCTGTAAAAAACACTTCAATATTAAAGTGTTCTCCTCAGAAATTTCTGATATCATCCTGGTTAGCAGGAAATTATGAAATACCATCTTGTTTCTGGAAATTATAGCGTCACATCCATAACACTACCTATAAGAAACTTATTTCAGATAGCATCACATTACCATGATGCTAAAAGGCCCTGGGGAGAACACTATAATTTAATCATTTATTTAAAGAGAAGGAACAAGTTTTATTAGAATATATTCTTAAATTTAAAATGATATAATACATTACATATACTATTCTTAACAGATAAACAACTGTTATGTAAACAAATAAACATATTTGATCATTTTATAATATAGCACCGTTTTAACATTTATTTTTACTATGAATAATACTGAAAATTCTATTAAAACTATATATTCTAACAGGACTGGTCTTAAAAAAACATCCCACTTTAAGTGGGAAATACAAAGTTTCATATACTTTTCTTTTTATAACTATCTAATGTAATTGCTGCATGAATATCAAAATGAAGAGATATAAAGTATATAATATACACAGTTAAAACACACAACCAAAGCTTGCATGGTCTTAAATCTAATTGGAAACTCACACCATTATGAGGAGTTTAAGCCTGACCAATAAAATTAAAGGCAAAATACTTTATGAACCAGGCTTAAAATCATTTTTGATACTAAATAACTACCATTCTTCTAATTTCTCACTATAAAAAGACACTACTAAAAAGTTTACGTTAATGAAATCTACTTCTGGTATGATTATTCGAATTCAAATATTTTGCTGTTATTTTTATAATGCTTTAGCTTATGACTGAAACTAGATTTATTATATCTAATTTAACCATCATTATTTTTCCAAATCATTGCAAAATTTTAAACAGGAGTACATAAGTATTACCGGTAGGGAAAATATAAAATACTTAACAGAATAAGGGAGACTAATGTTCCTTTATTACATAAAATATAAGTCTACTTCTTCTCAAAACATTAGGCTTGCAGAAGTCATCATGAGATTTATTACCGGTATTCAAAAAACATATTCACGACTTCAATCGTAAATGAATTTGAGGACCATTTTTCAGATAATACATTATTTCCTTCATCAGCATTTAGACATCATATATGAAAAAAGACTAGTAGTTTAAATTTTCACACTAGAATACAATTGCAAGAAAGGTGTGGAGGTGAAATATGAACTTTTGGAGAGAAACTTCCTTAAATACACAAAATATTGCACAATATATGCCTTTTATACAAAAATTAAAAACAATAAATAACATATGTTTTGCCATTGTCACAGTTAATGAATAAGTGCTATACAAACCCAATTTCAATTTTACAATTATGACCATTTTATGCTAGCTGTGTATTCTCTACTGTGATTGCCTTTATATTGTCCCCACAGGAAAGTCAGTACAGTTTGTTATTGTTCATTTTTTCATTTAAATTATTTTATAGATATCATGTAGGGCTAGATGAAATCTTTGAAAACTCTAAGAATATAAATTGATACCATTCAGAAAGAAAATTGAAGCTCAAAATAGAGAATTATAAACATTTAAGATAATTTTTCAAATTTGTTTTTTGGTATTAAATAATCAAACTGCATTTTTGTAATTATAAAACTGATAAATGACCATGCTGATCAAATGAAACTGCATATTACTTTTCAATTCAAACTTGATCCAAACGTACATTTACATTGGGCATTTTCTTATAAAATACATCAAAAGTATGTGCAATAATGAAATTTTTGACACAGAAATAGGTCTCACTTTTAAGGGGAATACCATTTTACCATATTTAATCAGCTTATTGACCTTTGGACTCTTTTCAGAGGTGGTCAAACTGTTCATCTATTATATTTTTTTACAAACAATGGCATAATGAATGATCGACAAAGCTCAATGAAATTAAAAAATACAAGAGGCTCTCAAGAGCCTGAATCGCTCACCTGTATTTCAGAGGAGAAGATTTTTAAATGTTAGCAAACTTGATGAACAAATTGTGTAAAATTGTCTTTAAAGGGCAATTGACAATTTTGGTCATATTAACTTTTTTGTAGATCTTACTTTGCTAAACATTATTGCTGCTTACAGTTTATATATATCTATAATAATATTCAAAATAATAACAAAAAACTGCAAAATTTTGTTAAAACTACCAATTCGGTGGCAGCAACCCAACAATGGGTTGTTCGATTAGTCTGAAAATTTCAGAGCTGATAGATCTTGACCAATTGAACAATTTTATCCCTGTCAGATTTGCTCTAAAAGCTTTAGTTTTTGAGATATAAGCCAAAAACTGCATTTGACCCCTATGTTCTATTTTTAGCCATGGCGGCCATGTTTGTCAATGGATCAAAACTTCGGATACATTTTATAAACTAGATACCCTAAGGAACATTTAGTTAAAGTTTGAAGGTATTTTGCCCAGTAGTTTCAGAGGAGAAGATTTTTGAAATAGTTTACGACGACAGACAATGACACACGACAGACAACAACGACAGACGACGGACGACAACGGATGCCAAGTGATGGCATAAGCTCACATGGGGCCCTTCGGGCCCCGGTGAGCTAACAAGGATCAATTAATTTCCATATTAAATTTCTAATGTTGAATTTAAATACTGTAAATAAAGATATTTGTGTGATGATCTTAATAATGCATATATTTAACTGGATGTATATCACAATGATAAAAATTGGTACCGTTAAAGTTATAAAAGGCTAATTTCTATTATAACTAGTTATATTAACTACAGGAATTGAATACCACATTATATGGTCAGTGGTGGAAGATTGACAATAAGTGAATACTTTCTGATTTGAGTATTCTAATTTGTGAAAAGGGAGATAAATCATGCACACTTTTTTAAATGAATGATTAAAAACTATACTTTGTTGAAAAAAAATGTGCATTATGTAAATACATAATCATACACCCCTAAAAATCATTGAAGTAATTTAAAAAGAAAAGGACATATGTCTTTATTACAAACATAAACTAAGTAAAATATAGCTTGTACTAGACCATATCAGTTTGTAAAACTTAATTGATAATCTGTACTGTGTATGATCTTATAGAGTCAAACAAATATGGCTCATAATAAACACATCACTTAAATTAAACTCATATGATGAATGATATATGTGATATGAATGAAAACAAAGTCATATTTCTAACAATATGATTGACCAAGATATGGCACAAGTTACAAGACTGTAGGTATAAAAAAATTCATAACACAACATCCATCAACTACAAATTTCCCATGGAATTTCTTAAAAACTATGTAATAAATGAAAACCTGGGCTAAAATATCCAAGATATATGCACCTGACATGCTTTATAAAGTTGATATAAAATTCTGGAATTTTTTTATAATACTATTGTAATAAAAAATATTATACAGATGAAAGAATCAGCTCAACTATTCCATGGAGAGACATTATTTTCAAATGCAAATGAGATACTGGTACATTTCCAATTTTATCAAAACATGTTTAGTTTTTTCTTGCAGGTTTGAACTTTCCAGTTGGATCTTCTATGTAGTACTTGTTCCAAACATCTTTATGCTGTGAGACACGCCCCCATGGCTTAAATCGTCCATTCCAATGTAGTAACTTGGCCATTCGTATAAACTGTTTTGTGTAACTTGTTCCTGATGTCCAGCCTAAAATAGTACAAATATCAATGACAGTGAGAAAATATAATATTCTATTCAAGTCATCCATTTTGCTGGTAAAAATGGAGATGAGATTGATTCCAATTTAGAAGACCTCGATGTACTATGCAAGAGAATTGTCATAGTGAAATGTCATTGATTTCAGGAGGTTTTCTGAGCAATAGGCATACATTCCAATGCACAGAGGTAAACTATATAAACCTTCTTTTGTTATGATAGTGCATAAAAAAATCACTGATGTTTTTGAAGTACTTTATTTATTCATCTTTAGTTTACATGAAAACATGTTTTTTTAATTCCAAGAAAGCATTATTTTGATATAAGACAAAAATATATAAAACCATTTTATTGGAAAAAAACATCTTGTTATAAATTTATACAATAATTGTCTGTTCATAACATTAAAGAGCTTAACAATCTAGGTAAATACCTTTATTTAGCTGATAAGATTCATTATTCATAATATAGTGCTCATATTTCATAATTTATATAATTTGTTGTCATTCTCCGCCAATGATTCAATGATTCAAACTATTTGTAATTGTAAAACACATATGTAATTATTCACTGATGCTATTATATTTGTATATGTAAATTCTATAAGCTGTATTGCTTTTGAATAAAAGACTATTACAATTACTACCTAGATATCTAACATGCCATCCAGGATCTATATTGGTATATTTCTTATAAAAGACAATCATCATTGGAGGTTGTGAACCTCCTCCTCCTCTTTCATTCCCATAGATTTCCTCTCTGAAAAATAAATCAGCCTTTCTTCAAATAAGTGTTGTCAAATTTCTATTTATTAATTGTTGTTTTTCATCACAGTTCGGCTGCTAACTAAAAATGAAATTATTCTGTTGTTGTTTCTGATAAAAATGTAATGAAAAAATGTGTTGGACGGATGAACGCAGGTAATAGCTATGTAGCCCCCAGTCCTAGAGTGGGGGTATACCAAGGGTCTGGAAACGGTCATATATGCCAGTCATGTCCTAAGATGAAACTATTTGTCCTAAACGAGTAATAGGGATTTAGGACAAATTTTATTTTTTTAATGAAGTAATTTCGGTCATTTCATTGACTCAATGATTGAAATCGGATTTCTTAATCGCCATTTTGCACTGTCTTGTGTAAGTTGTGATCACTTGTTTTTGTTTATAATCCCTTTCCTGTAATGAAACTGCCACTCCAGTAGTTTGATAATCCTGAGGGCCCTCCTAATATCTATATCAATGCCTCCGGGAAACATTGGCTAATGATCGCTAATCACTTTTTACCTGTGGTTTTAATTCACACCTGACAGTGATCACAAGCTCAGAATAATATCTTAACAAAAATTGAAATTCCCTGACAAGTGTATTTATTATTTAATTACTTTTCAGCAAAGACAATCATCAAATCTGATTTAAAAATTAAACCTAAATTTACGGAGAAAAAAGTATTTTTTCATGTGCTTTATTTACTATATAATACGCATGCGTGAAATTGTCTTCAGCAAATTTAATGTTTAATCGTAAAATGCAAATTGATTTCATGCTAAATTAAACGAGTGCAACTATTATCTGTTACATTCAAACACTTTTAAAGGTAATAAAATAAAAAAGTCATAAAAAGCCGGTGATTTCCTGTCAATTTGATAAACAAAACAAATCCCGGAAAGGAATCAGGAATTATTCGTACTTTAACTTTATCGCAAACTTCCGGTTTTAACTTTTGTCAAATCGAAAGAAACGTAAGCAATGTCTGAGAGATTTACAATTTTGAATCATTAAAATCATTTCAATTTTAAACTATTGGCTTCCCTAAACTGTTCTTCATGGTAATGGTAAGACATTTACTTAGTAAATGCGATGAAACAGCAATACAAGTTCGTTGATGCGATGAATCTAGTCAAGTTGTCATCGACAATTTGGAAAGGGGCACCAACTTTTCTATCATCTCAAAATGACCGAAATTGTGTGGAAAAATTTCCGGATCCTTGGGGTATACCATAATACAATACCAAGGAATGCTCTCCTTTAAGCTTCAAGAACTTCAATAATATAATACATAAACAATAACGAACAATAACGAACACTACATGGTCTAGAAAAGCCTGTCTTGGCACAGGGACCAAATACAGTGTGATAAAACCAGTCAGCGTTGCAACAGCTGTTGGTTGAATACCACAGATAAAAAAAATAAAATTCAAATTTTGAATACTGCAATCTAGAGAACATTTTCAAATTTCTAGCTTTCTTATTTCCTAAATCACATCAAAACATATAAACCCTTTTTATGGTATTGAATACAATATATTTAAACCCATTTATCCTGTAGAAATCACCAAATACTTACTTTGTATTTAACTCCAACCAATGTTGTAACTGATTTGTTATATTGTATTTCCTCCAGAGGTTAAGGTCTGCTATAAATACACCAGTATTAAAGGCACACTCTGTTGGGTCAATCTTCATTTCTTTAATGTTTTTACTTTTAAAGTCAATATAATCAGCATAATTATTCTAAAACATAACATAGGGTAATCAATGACAGATTTAAGTATATATGTATATCGTATAATAATTATCTACGCTAAATTGATAAAAAGACAAAATTATGATGCAAACATGCAATGATATATTTTTTTTTATAAGAGTAACAATCTAATGCAAAGATCTATTTTGGGAACTTTTCAGTTTCATTTTGTTCGTATGACAAATTATGTCTTGTAATGTAGAAATAAAATATTTGCAGATGACGCTATCTTGTAACATTTTAGATCACAAGGTCACAGACAAAAGATAAGGCATGTTGCCCTTCCCCAAAATGTTTGTTTGGACTCTGGCCTTAAAGTGGTGCTTATGACATTAAATGAATCAATAGCTACATTTAACAATGCAATGGTGTCTTTTTTTTATTTGATTTTTTAATTCTTACAATTGCATGGCAATCTAATTAGTTGTTGATGGAGGATATATCTTTTTGATGTATTCAAGATGAAAAAATTGACCATCAGAAAGTATACTAGAAAATCAATGCCAAATCCTAAATTTTCTGGAAAAAAAGTGTTCGTTGCAGCATCATGATATAATCCACTCTTAAATTTCTGACAATGTAACTGGTTATTTCTGAATTCCATCAAATTAAAAGGTTCAATCCCTTATTCAGGAAATAAAGGTACTTCTGCCCCTCAGAAGATGAGGACAGAAGTGATCACTACAATTCAGACAAATAGTTGTTCGTTTATGAATTTTTAAATTATAAAGAAACTAAGGTTTCAACTCCCTCTGGCAAAGTTGGCCATAGATGGATTTGGCTATTTTCATGTCCTTTTTGGTTCTTATACATCCTTGGCTTTCGCATATTTGGTTTTGAGCGTTACTGATGAAAGTAAATCCAGAAAAGAGCTTCTGGCGCATAAAATTTATAATGTTGTTTTCATTTTTTGTTCAGTTTAATCCCACTTCTTACCTTCATAAGAGTTAGCCTCCTAGAAGCACTGCTACATTCACTGGAGAAGCCAACTGCATGGCCGGGTGATAATTTCATGTCATACAATTCTTTTATATCACCTATCAAAACACAAATACTGATTAGGTTCAGTGTAGGTCATATTTTATTATGAGAAGCATACAAAGCTGCTAATTTTTAGGTAAATATTTACCATGGTTTCAAGAAATGAAATAATAAATGTGGCAAAGTCGGTAAACTCAACCTCCCAAAATTGTTTGCAAACAGACGATGCATATACTCATCTGTGTTTAGATCTTAATGAGTCGAAGGTAACTTCTTGTACCTAAAACTAAATTAACCTGTTAATGTGTTTCTATTTATCGATTCCCTCTTCATGCATGCAGGTATTCATACATCCTCGGCATACAATTTTTTTTGTTTTAAGCATTCCAGATGAAGGTAAATCAAGAAAAGTGATTAGTTTTCTCATTTGAATTGTTTTACATTGTCATTTTGAGTCCTTTTATAGCTGACTATGCAGTGTGGGTTTTACTCATTGTTGAAGGCCGTACAGTGACCTATAGTTGTTAATTTGTGTATCATTTTAGTCTCTTGTGGAGAGTTGTCTCATTGGCATTCATACTACATCTTCTTTTTTTTATATTCAGATGCACCATTTTATAAAGTTTTCATTATCGATGCCTGTTACCTTTTAAAAGTGTAAAAACAGGGGGTCTATACTTAATTTATATGATTGTCCATCTCATTTCAATCAAGGAACCTTATTTCCATCTACGAGGCAGTTATCTGAAAGTCTATGTTAATCAATATACGTTTTTTTTTTTAGACTAGACATTTAGGAACTTGACATATCATTAAGACACCAGTCCATTGTAGAAGACTGCATGTCGACATCTACATGTTTTAGTTTTTGTTTTGTTGTGTTGCTGGCTTATTGACAATATAAGCTATATGTATCTCAATTTAACATAATAACATCTGATGTTTTCATATACCCTTGATCTATCTGGATCAGACAGAAAATAATTCAAAAGATTTATAACATAATTTGACCATCTGAGTGTTACTGATTCCATCTTCAAAATTATTCCTTGCAAAATGCTGGATTATTACTATAAGGTCTGATTAACATCACATTCACAATTTTCCAAAAAGGACAATTTAATGGTCATAACTTAATTCCAATTTTAATCCCTTTCCTATAATTTTACCAAGGTGCCCCTAAGACTTAATCTGAACTGAAGGCCGTACTTTGACCTATAATGGTTTACTTTTACAAATTGTGACTTGGATGGAGAGTTGTCTCATTGGCACTCATACCACATCTTCTTATATCTAAGGATAACATTGGTACTGTGGATTCCTTTTTGTTGTTGGGATACTGATACCAATTTTTGTTGATTTTGTGGGTTTAGGTAAACCACAAATTTAAATATTCAACAAAGAACAATTCTTTATAGACTTTTATACAAATTTTGGCAAAACCACAAGTTTAAAATATCCATGAAAATACAAATTTTTCTCTATCCACCAAAATTAGTACCCATAAAAGGTACCCATAAAAATAAACAAATCCATAGTAATAGCCAAATTTGTAAAACCAACCTTGTACTATACTATCATCGTCTATGAAGAGTACTCTACCCTTAATATCAGGGAACAGTTTTGGTAAGTAATACCTGGCATAATTCAACTGAAATAAAAAAACAATGTAATAAAGTACAGAGCATCTTGAAGTTTTAGTATGTTGTGCAAAATGTTTGAATCCAAATAAATTTTAGTGTGAATAAAATTTGGTCGTACGGTTCTGGGTTTTACCTTGCTGTCACTTCATGAACTTAGACTGACTGAAGATTGTAAATCTACTGTCCAATAGTAGGTAGCTTTATAGTGTTTCAGCAAAATTTCAAACCAAGTTTACTTGATGGCACGTGTAGTAGTCATTTAAACCTTATCCAAACAAATGTTTCAACAGGTTTTTTTTAAACAAAAAAATGGAAATTGGCAATCCAAAGTTATATGATGTACCGTAAGAGTTTCCTCATTCAGTAAACATTAAACAATAGAATTGGCTAAAATTCAATGAGAGAATTGCTTTCCATTGATAATTCTGAAATATCAAATAAAAAAAGGCGGTTACAGACCTTAATTTCTTGAAAAATAAAAAAAAACGGAAATTGTCCTATCAAGTCAGTATAATTATCTGCCCTTGATTTTAAAAGGATGTTTTCTCAAAATTTTAAAACACTTTACAACACTTAATTTTTTGATAGTTTAATCCTATAATTTCAAGTTTTAGATATATATTTGTTGTATATTGAATGATACCAGGTAAAATATTTTTAAAACAAAAAAGTTTTTTTGCAACATGCCTAGAAGGGATGCTCAGAAAAAGACAGTAAATCTACCTTAAGGTTGCATTTCTGTAAATATAGACGATGCAATTTCCCTTAGGAACTCCCTTTACGGCTAAAACGGCCACTTTTACTATTGAAGTTTCGTGAAAAATTATATCCTAGAATGGAAAGTTGATATGCACTACTATTTTATTCAAAGGTCAAAACATAGGGCTGTGGGCATATTTTCAACATTTATATGCCCGAACTTCTATGATTTAAAACTTATACTTAAATTCTGTACTACCCCTTCCCTTACTTTAAATATTTCTCAGAATTCAAAATTTGTTGCATCCTGTGTATATATACTGGTAACATTCAAAAGTTATGTCTCTATGAGATGAAACATAGAGATCATAGCTGGGAACCAGTACGTAATCAAAACAAAATATCTATGAATATTATATATCTCCCCAAAAGAGGCGTGGTTTGTGAAACAGCTGTACTTACAAAGTGCAACCTGTAGGCAGATTATCTTTTACAGATGACATAATAGGAAAAATAAAAAACAAGCAAATATTCCATGTATAATAAAATCTTACAGGTTTAGCTAGATCCTGACGTCCACCACGGACTTTAATCTTTCCTTTCACCCAACTTTCAGGAAATACTTTGATTTGGTAATGAATATCCTTCAGCTTGGTTGTTTCTATCCATATTCTGTTTAAAAGATGCATATTATAATTATAGTTTAACAGTTTGATCAATGACATATTGTTCATCCATTTCTGACCATTCCTTTACAAGTCTTATGTTATAAAAATTCCACTTTAATCTCCATGTTATATATGTTGATACCTGAACTCAAAAAGATTTTACTGTAAAACCAGAGAGGACAATGGACATATGACAGATGGAAACTTCAGAACAAAGGCATGATAATACATCTATATACTGTGAATTCATTATTATTCTTGGGATACCAATTTTCGTGGGTATGGGTTAATCACAAATCTAAATTTTTAATGAAGTACATTGTACAAATATTTTAAGACTTTGGGAAAACCACAAAATCAAATATCCATGAAAATACATTTTTTTTTCTCAATCCACCAAAATTGGTATTAACGAAAAGAAATGAATCCACAGTACAGGTCAAGGCATCTGTATACAAGGTATAAAGCATACAGGTCAAGGCATCTGTATAGAAGGTATGAAGCATACAGGTCAATGCATCTGTATACAAGTTATGAAGCATACAGGTCTTCTACCTAATGAAATATAAAGCTTTATACAAATCGTTTACACAATCACTGCTGATGCCTGATAGCATCCCTACAAAAATGTATGTCTGGTATTCTGCGACAGGCGAGAATACCAAAATTTTATAACCATATTTAACTTTAAGGAAGCCTCCTTCAGAGCTATGATAAAAATCATTTTGTCCATTTTTTCTAGTGCATGATAAATCCAAAACGCTAACACATTTAAAAAAAAATAAATGTGGATAGTGTCCACATGTGGACACAGATGATGCCCCTGCTTGTGTAAATGCTCTTTTGTTCCGACATTGGAAAGTTCCGGGCAGAAAGAACTAACTAGCCGAAAAGTTGATTACAAAAGTCAAATGGAACTTATCAACTAGCCACAAAGTTCCTCTTTGGCAAACAAGTCAAAACCGGAACTAACAAACTAGCCCAAAATTTCCAACGGAACTTATCAACCAGTCACAAAGTTCCATTTGGAGAATTGATGCAAAGAACCACATGAGGAGGGGGTATTCTTCCCTCTCTTGAGGGTACTATGAATACTAAATTTGCATGATAATGCAACTTATTTCGTTTTATGTGAGGCTTTGTGAGCTATGAAATACAACTTAAATTTTGCATATTTGTCCCCAAAGAAACCCCTTTCAGTGCATTGGATGTTCTTGTAAATTAATGATTTGCTCTTATATATACTGATACTCATTCTTCCCCCTCTTTCTTCAAAAAGGACGAAATATGGTATATTTGGAAGGATGTAACTAGTTGTTCTGTTCCGCCAGAACTATTCAACTAGCTACATTGTTCCGGGACTTTTCAACTAGCTACTTTTTTCCAGAACTTTTCGACTGCACTCGGAATAAAACAACTAGTTGGAAAGTTCCATCGGAATGAAATAACTAGTTGAAAAGTTCCGCCTAAACAAAGTAACTGACGGAACATAGTGGCTGTTACATTTGCATAGCATAGAGTTATAAAGGGACATAACTGAAGAACGGTAAAAGTGACGCTACTCAAATTTGAACTTGATCTGAGTTTTGTGGTAATAAGCATTGTGTGTAAGTCTCATAACATTTGGTTGAGGCTAACTTAAGCAGAGAACAGAAACTAAAAATTCAGCAATTTTTCTATTTGTAAACACGCATAACTCTAGAATGGTTGTGTTTAAGTTTTATGACATTTGGTTGAGACAAACTAAAGTTAGAGAATGGAAACGAAAAATTCAGCAATTTTTATGTTTATAAAGGGACATAACTCAAGAATGGTAAAAGTGTTCTCACCAAATTTCGTACTTAATCTGTATTATGTAGTAATAAGCATTGTGTATAAGTTTCATTACATTGGGTTAAGGCAAACTAAAGTTAGAAAAAGGAAAAAAAAAATTTGTACTTGATCTTAGTTTTGTGGTAATGAATATTGTGTATAGGTTTCATAATATTTGGTTGGGGCAAACTTAAGTTACAGAATGGAAACTAAAAATTTTGCAATCTTTCGATTTATAAAGGGGCATAACTCAATAATAGTTAAAGTGACACTACCCAAATTCAACTTGATCTGTGTTTTATCAGTGGAAGTCAAAATTAAACATTGCATTGTATAAAGCATTGATTGTAGTTGATTCAACTATAATCATGGACAAAGGAAGATAACTCCAATTTTAATAAAATGCTTAGCTGAGATCAGCTGGATACGACCGCAGAGGTCCAACCCTGAACAGTTGGGGCAAAAATGGACACAATATTCGCACTTGATACAGGTCTGAATTTGGATTGTAATTAAATATTTGACACATAATAGGTTTCTGACACAGAATAACTGTAGTCAAAGAACTTAGAATTGGTTATATGATTTGAATTTATATTCAATTTTTTGCTTTTGTGCAATACACCATGCTGTTGCGTATTGAAATTATTTTTCAAAAAAAAAAAAATATTTGAAGAAATTTTCTTTTTAATTTCTGAAATCTGAAATGAGAAAAAATTGCACCCCCCCACCAATTTTTTTTCACCTTCCCACCTTTTTCCAAAAAAAAATTCTTTCCCTCAAGATATGGTCATAATCTCAATTCAAATTTCCAATGGAGTTTGCAACCATAATTACCAATCTAAATACATCATAAAAGTCTTAAAATAGAAAATGACATACATAATCATGGCTAAAATCAATATTCCTTTAATAGTAACTTCTAAAAATTAATTGACAGCTAATCACCTCAAGACATCTTTATACATAATTTAAAAGCAATGTAAGGGAGGTAATCCAATTTTTTTTTTTAATACTTTAAATGTACCGTTAAAAGGCTTGTATAGTCCACGGTTTTATTCTCCAAAATTGAACCTGCCAGAAGGGGTGCGGACTATAGAGTACAATAAGCCAGAAATAAGAGAAAAAAATCTATTTCGCGAGGTGGTTTGTTTACGTTCCGCCATGTTTGTTATTGATATTGTAGAGGGCGCTCTTATCATTTTTCAAACCAATAATTTAGCCTAATCCATATTAATAAGTTATTCTTATTCAATATCAAATTAATACTGATAAATTTAAAAATTAAACGCTTCATTACAAATTTCTCGTTTCTTTTCAATGCATTCCTTAAAATAAACTGATATCTGCTTGAATGAAACGGTACAAAAAAAGTATAAAAGACAACCGTAAACCAGCTTACGATGTGTAAACTACAAAACGCAATCGGTTATTATTTGTTCCGTTTTGGTGTTTCATACTGACTAATATGTTTTGTATTAGCTTAAGACCATTCAAACATTGATGTGATCGATATAATAAATACTGTTTTACATAAGGATGAAACTGTTTTACTTTCAAAGTTGTATTATAGTGATATCTATTATGTACGGATTTCGACTCTCATCGTTTTTTTTCTTCTTTTACATGTGCTATTCAAACTTCCGGTTTAAACATACACAAGTTTCTAAATTGTTTTTTGTATGATTTAGACTTATTTTAACAATCATGAAGTGTTCTAGAATCATTTACAAGCAGTTTCAGCTTCTGTTTGATGATGGAAAACAGGTTTTTCCAAAAAAAATACCGCAAACGACCACACACGATGTGAAATTACCAGAGTTTCATTAGACCTTTCCTAACAGTTACAAAAAGTTTTTTTTCCTGAAATTTCGTGGGGAGAAGGGGGTGCGGACTATGTACCTGATTACGGTATTTGGATTACCTTCCTTACACTGCTTATAAATTGTCCATTAACCAGGAAACCCTTGTTTTCCCCTCTTTTTAGCCCCTAATTCCTAAACGGTTTGAGCCATAACCCCCCAAAGTCAATCCTAACCATCCCTTTGTGGTACAGAAACTTGTGGTATAATTTCAGAGCGATTCATACACCGTTCCACAAGTTATTGTCTGGAAACTATAAAAATGCTTATTTGGGCCCTTTTTTGGCCCCTAATTCCTTAACTGTACCATAACCCCCAAAATCAATCCTAACCTTCCTTTTGTGTTATTGATCCTTATTGTAAAATTTCATAGAGATCCATTCACTTAAACTAAAGTTATTGTGCGAAAACCAATGTGTCTTCTGACAACGACGACGCCAACGTCATACCAATATACGACCGCAAACATTTTTTGCGGTCGTATAATAATAACTTGATATTTAGAAGAAAATTAAAATTTTGCCTCTTTTTCCATTTATAAAGGGGCATAACTCTAGAACGGTTAAAGTGACACCACCAAAATTCAAACTTGATCTGTATTTTGTGGTAATAAGCATTGTGTAGAAGTTTCATAACATTTGGTTGAGGCAAACTCAAGTTAGAGAACGGAAACCAATTTTGGGACGTACGTACGTATGTACATACGTACAAGGGTAATCCTTAGTGCCCCCACCGCTACGGCGGGGGCATAAAAAAAAAGTTATCTACCTTAAGTGGTCTTGACTTTCTGCATCCACTACTAAATGAAAGAAAACATGGTGTTTTGTGTTGCTATAGATACTGTTGATCAGGGCAACCATTCCACCAATCGTATTTTTATCTGATGTTATACACACATGGACGGCATCTTTGTGTAAACTGGAATTACTTTTGTAATCATCAGCCTCTTGACGATAAATACCTGTAAATAAATGTTAATTCAGGTGGTACTGGTATATGACTTTGAAAAAATAATAATGAATTCTATGTTATCATTTTGTTACTTCCAAACTTTCAATTTCAGTTGAATAAATAACACTTGTGTTTTATCAAAAGAATGAATAATTATTTTTCCTTCGCCACTTATTTTGTAAAAAAAACGGTTCATTGAAGATTTCCATTTAAAAGTTATATACTCTTGAGATGGCTGACTGCAGTCACTACTATGAAGCTTTTCATCACTTTGATGATTTTATTTACAGTACAGCAGTAAATTATTTGATTTTGTACGGAAGTAGTCAGGTTATAATAATAATAGTCCTGAGATATGTTCCTAACTTCTTGATCTTTTTTATTTGTTGTTTTTTTTTCATTCCCTTTTTCATGTTTTTTTTTCTCTTTCTGTCAAATACATTTTAATGCACATTTATAGTGATGTTTGGAGATTAAACATTCCAAATGATCCATTTTTGTACATTTTTAATGTAGGTATTTTCAAGTAAAATACAGTATACCTGTAATAGTACTGACATCCATAGATAGAATGGCACCAATATTTGTTGATCATTTTGATTTGGTAAACTTTCCAAATGAAGTTATTATATATATATATATATATTTACAATTATAACTGACTATACAGTATGAGTTTTGCTCAATGTTGAAGGCCGTACTGGGGTGAATAGTTGTCTCATTGGCAATCGTACCACATCTCCTTAATTTTGTCTTTAAAATCAGTCTGTAATAAATAAAAAGTGTGGAGAAATGTAGAAGAGTTGTGTGAATCAAGTCTGGGTTATAACAAATTGTTTTTAAGACATCATGTCAGAAGCAAACGTAAATATTTACCTTTATCTATAGCTCTTTTAGATTTCAAATGAGGTAACAGTTCAGGGAACCAAATGACCACCATAAATCCTAACCATACACATACAGTCAGCAGGATAACTGAAAAACAAAAATCTACATAGATTTATTAACAGGCATAACAAAGTACTAGATCAGAGAACCAAATAAATAAAACCTTAAAAATATCTACACTTTCAGGCATGGTCGCCTTTTTTCATGACGTCACAATAAGAAATTCAGAGGAAAGCAAGAAAAGGAGTAAGTTCGTTAAGGGCCATATTTGGCCCTGATTATAAAGTTCAATGTTACAAGATAAAAAATGTTTTAAGTTGACTTAAAGACATGTGAGAAAGTTACATAGAACTATTTGTGTCAAAGTTTTATTCTAAAGCGTTGATTTTTACATCCCAAAAAGGTCAAGATAAGAGATTTTGGCGAAATTTGACAAAATCGGCTGAATTTCAACCAAATTTAGGACCAGGAAACAGAGTGCATGCGTCGACAAACTAAATATTCAAGTTAGACATGTAAAATGTCTTTACAAACATTATTTTAAAAGATCTTATTTGTCGACGTATGCGCTCTATGTTTCCTGTCCAATAATCAATGGAAATTTACCCATTTTCATTTATTTTTTCGTGGAAAATCAAAATGAGTACTATTTGTGACGTCATGAATAAAACGCAGATACGTAAATTTTCAAAAAAAGGCTTATTTCCTATCTAGTCACTGTATTAGCTATGATTCAATGTGATATTGGTCAATAAATCCTAATTTGAAATTTAAGCTAAAAAAAGGGGCCATTTTAGGGCCTTATCAAACCTACTCCTTTGATGTAATAATCGAATTTTGATCAATGAAGAACATGTTGTTTGAATAGAGAATATCATATAATGGTTTTTTCAATATCACATCCGTATCAACCCGAGACACCAATATAATCCTATTCCCTCTGCTCGAGGGATTATATTGGTTGAGGGTTGATACAGTATGTGATATTGAAAAAGCCATATCATATATATAGAGAATATTATATGGCTTTTTCAATATCACATCCGTATCAACCCGAGACACCAATATAATGCCAAGAGCTCTGCTCGAGGGATTATATTGGTTGAGGGTTGATACGGTGTGTGATATTGGAAAAGCCATATCATATACACTTTATTATATACATATACCTCACGTAGATGTTTTTTTATGTGACATGACGTCATACAGGTAAGGAGGTTTGAAATGACGTCATACAGATTATAGATTTGACATGACGTCATACAGATTAGGGGTTTGATAAAGCCTTTGCAACAGTGACTGCAATCGATGACGTGACGTCATACAGCTTAAAGGTGTGATAAAGCCTTTGCAACCGTGCTGAAATCGATATCATCACGGGTGGCTGATACAGCACGCTTGCCAATGATTGTATTACACATACAATTTATCTGTATTTACTACTAAGTATATAATAAATATATATATCTCACATAGATGTTTTTCATGTGACATTACGTCTTACACGATACAGATTATGGATTTGACATGACGTCATACAAATTAGAGGTTTGACATGACGTCATACAGATTAGGGGTTTGATAAAGCCTTTGCAATAGTGACTGAAATCGATGATGTGACATCATAAAGATTAGGTGAGATAAAGCCTTTTCAACCGTGACTGATATCGATATCATCATGAATAGCTGATACAGCACGATTGCAGTTGACCGTATTACATATGCAATTTATCTGTATTTACTACTAAGTATATAATAAATAAATGGGGAATGTGTCCATGGGACACAGATGATGCCCCCACTTGCATATCATATAAAGTTATAAAGGGACACAACTGAAGAATGGTAAATGTGACGCTACCCAAATTCGTACTTGATCTGAGTTTTGTGGTAATAAGTATTGTGTATAAGTCTCATAACATTAGGTTGAGGCTAACTTAAGTTAGAGAACAGAAACGAAAATTCAGCAATTTTTCCATTTGCAAACAGGCATAACTCTAGAACGGTAAAAGTGACACCACCAAATTCAAACTTGATCTGTGTTTTGTGGTAATAAGCATTGTGTATAAGTTTGATAACATTTGATTGAGGCAAACTAAAGTTATTGAACGGAAACGTAAAATTCAGCAATTTTTATGCTTATAAAGGGGCATAACTCAAGAAGGGTAAAAGTGATGCCACCCAATTTCAAACTCAATCTGGGGAGAGTCTTTTTACCACAGAACACCACAGAATACCACAGAACACTAAAAATATACCACAGAACTCCTAAATAGTAACAATTCAGACATTATAGTTGTTGTTATTGCTAATTATGTCTATAATATGACTTTTATTATTCAAATAAATTAAAATTTTCAATCTAGTGTCGACTCACTACATGTATCATTACGCCCCCAATTGACTTGGCCTTTAATTGGGTCCATACTAAAAATTAATGTAAGACCAATCATTGAGAAAACCAAAGAATTTTACCACTATAATGTTTTAAATAACCTATAAATTATAGATTACATGTATTTGTATTTAATTGTTGAAAATTGAAGTTCGAAGACTGATTTCCGTTTGTGTGTGTGTGTGTGTATCTTCCTCAAATTTCAAGTGTAAAATTCAAGAAACAAGTGTAGATAAACTTTGTCTGTGGTCAAATATCAATAATAAGAGAGATAAAATTTAAGTGGAAAATTTTAATTTGATAACATCAATAACAAAACAATTCAATAAATACATGGTTAAGGTGATTAATGTCTTTTTTCGGCTCTTTCTGTTCTTGGTCTCTTTCTCTGCATAGGTTTCCTGGCTACTGACTTAGCCTTGTTGACAACAGAATAAAGTCCATCTGAGGAAGTTATGATATTATCATGTTTTCTTTTCTTACTGTCCTGTAGGAAATTAGTGAAGAGCTTTCATTTTTCCTCATCTGATTTGGTTTTCCAGATGGCATCAGCTAAAGTATACTGTTTGTATGAATGAACAAGCATGTAGTCCCCAGAATGATGAAGGGCCGACCGAAGATTAATGAACTGGAAGTCCACCATGTCAAATAGTTTATCAACCAAATCTGGGGCATGTTTGGGCTTCCAGTTGACTGCCACTTTCATCACCTGGTTCATGGATTCTGCATTGTTGTTCGTCCACAATTGTTTGGTGCCCAAACGTCTATTAGGTGCATTAACGAATTCTTGAACTCTAGACTTAAAACTTTGTTCGTAATACTTCAGGAACTGAGGATAATTTGCACATAAGTCCTTGAGTTCTGAATCTGCCCTTGCAAATTGCAATGTGTCGTCTGCACTTGCAATTCCGTGATCTCCAAAGATTGTGTTGATGATGTTTTTTCTTTCTTGGGTGCTGACACCAACACGATCTTGAAGGTAATGTTGTACATTGTCTTTTAAATGTTTCGTACACAATCTTCGTTTGGCGGTTAGGAATGCCTTTTCTATCGCCTTGGTCATCGCCTTTTCATCATCACTGCCGAACTCTATATTTTCATGGAGACGAAGTTCTACATCATTAATGGCTAGTTCCAGTGTGGCAGAAATGTGTGAAAAGAAGGCTCCGTATGTTGTGTATGAAGCATCCTTGTGTAGAAGCATTGGTCCTGCAAAGATTGGATGGTCTTTGGTTTCTTTTCTATTTAGAGTGGTAATAAGCATTGTGTATAAGTTTCATAACATTTGGTTGAGGCAAACTAAAGTTAGAGAACAGAAACCAACTTTGGGATCTACTAGTGGATACTGGAATTCCAATTAATACTAGGAGGATTCTGGATCTTACAGAATTATAAATTGTATTGTAACTGTCTAACAGTTACACTGGGTAACAAGAGTAACAAATTAGAATCCAATAAAATGCTTCGCTGGGCGCAGCTTGATACGACCGCAGAGGTCGAACCCTGAACAGTTGGGGCAAGTATGGACACAACATTCAAGCTTGATACAGCTCTGAATTTGGATTGTGATTAAATATTTGACACAGCATAGGTTTCTGACACAGAAAGAATGTGGTCTAAGAACTTGAATTTTTTTAATTTACCTATTATGGTCCAATGTCCAAAATCAAAATACATTATTTCAATATAATTTGAAATGATTTGTACTTTCAAATTGAAGTTCGAAGACTGATTTCCGTTTGTGTGTGTGTGTGTGTATCTTCCTCAAATTTCAAGTGTAAAATTCAAGAAACAAGTGTAGATAAACTTTGTCTGTGGTCAAATATCAATAATAAGAGAGATAAAATTTAAGTGGAAAATTTTATTTGATAACATCAATAACAAAACAATTCAATAAATACATGGTTAAGGTGATTAATGTCTTTTTTCGGCTCTTTCTGTTCTTGGTCTCTTTCTCTGCATAGGTTTCCTGGCTATTGATCACTTAGCCTTGTTGACAACAGAATAAAGTCCATCTGAGGAAGTTATGATATTATCATGTTTTCTTTTCTTACTGTCCTGTAGGAAATTAGTGAAGAGCTTTCGTTTTTCCTCATCTGATTTGGTTTTCCAGATGGCATCAGCTATAGTATACTGTTTGTATGAATGAACAAGCATGTAGTCCCCAGAATGATGAAGGGCCGACCGAAGATTAATGAACTGGAAGTCCACCATGTCAAATAGTTTATCAACCAAATCTGGGGCATGTTTGGGCTTCCAGTTGACTGCCACTTTCATCACCTGGTTCATGGATTCTGCATTGTTGTTCGTCCACAATTGTTTGGTGCCCAAACGTCTATTAGGTGCAACAACGAATTCTTGAAATCTAGGCTTAAAACTTTGTTCGTAATACTTCAGGAACTGAGGATAATTTGCGCATAAGTCCTTGAGTTCTGAATCTGCCCTTGCAAATTGCAATGTGTCGTCTGCACTTGCAATTCCGTGATCTCCAAAGATTGTGTTGATGATGTTTTTTCTTTCTTGGGTGCTGACACCAACACGATCTTGAAGGTAATGTTGTACATTGTCTTTTAAATGTTTCGTACACAATCTTCGTTTGGCGGTTGGGAATGCCTTTTCTATCGCCTTGGTCATCGCCTTTTCATCATCACTGCCGAACTCTATATTTTCATGGAGACGAAGTTCTACATCATTAATGGCTAGTTCC